CACAGGCTAAACCATTCCCTGTATGAAACCAACCAAAAATTAAAGGGACAGGTTCACGGTTATGTACATGGTCATTAATTAAATTAATTTTTTCCAATTTATTATTAATTCTGTCGGTTAATAATCCCACTCACATGTATCTCAGCAATCTCAGAGTGTATTATTTTCACAAAGTAGAAGTGTATTTCAGAGTAACAAGGTAAGGTAGTGGAGCCCTAAAATCGCAGAAAAAATTAGTGGATTATGCCAACACTGCCGACGTTGAATTTATTGTAACCTAAAGGTTTTATTCCATGGTTGATTAATTTACAGCTATTTGTAAATATTTAAGTTGATCAAGAGCAAGTAACTGCCAGGGGAGTATGCAGATTGATATAGGTATAGAAGATTCAGCATGTCCTGGCACAAAAGCAACATTTTGATAAACGAGCATGCACTGAACCATGAACCTGTCCCTTTAAAATGGTAAGACTTGGTGGTATATTACTGTCTTGACGTGGGTGCCTACAAGAGGTTCAGCTATGAATGCAGTGACTAACTGGTTGCTTATGTGAGGTTGCTGTTTGCTGATGAGGGCTGCTCACACATAGAAGTTTGACTGTAATAATTTAATTTATTACAATTTAATGGCAGTAAGTCAGGTTAAGGCAGTATGGACGATTTATAAAAGAGTTACAGCGACCCCATATAAAAACATATCACCTTAAACATGATAACATGAAGGTGTGAAATTTTGCCAGTATATTTTGGTTCCAAGACATGGTTATTGTTTTGTTTGGCAATTCAGTTGCATAATTCAGTTTATTACAATACAGTAAATAGTTTTGTTAGAGGATGACTTGCTTGGACTCTTGCCCATCGGGAAAGTGAGCTTTGAAAGCTTCTTTCCTAGCAAGAATATCTACTGGTCCTGGACTATCGGAGGAAACTTTTTTCAAGCCCTGAAAAAGTGGTCACGTGTCAGAGGTTGTCGTCTTTGAGAGGTGGATTTGTTGCGGTCCTGGATTTATTTTCTTTTATTTTTGGTATGGTTATGTATGAGAATGAGTTTGAAAAATTAGGGAAAATAAAAATTAAACCAAAAATACGTATGTAATATTCAACCAAAGCATATCAGTGCACCTAGAGGTTCTCCTTCCCTTTTCCCAAACTTACAGTATTTATCTCTTCAGTATTCTAGTTTGATTTATTTACCTTACATCTTGCTGCCTAAACTTAATACCAGTAAGGTCCTGTTTTCACTGGCAGCAGCTTACTGGAGAGGAGATGACACTGGTGAACGCTCCATGTGTTTGACATTTGGTTTGTTCTTTTTTGTTGTTGCCATGGCAGTGCTGGTGATTGACGAGTCTCTTCTAGACTTTGGTCTTGATAAAGGTAAGCAAGTATAAAGTGGTAAATGATTGTTTATTTAAGCAATAGACAACACTTTCTATGGGTTACCGGCGTGATAAACCACGCGGGATGTTGGGAGAACACGAGAAAAGTTGGTAAATCACGAGCCGAAGTCGAGTGATTTACAAGCTTTTCGATTGTTCTACCAACATCCCAAGTGGGTTATCACGCCGGTAAACCCATAGAAAGTGTGGTCTTTTGCTTTTATATAATAACTTTAAGTAAAACTATGAGTTTACCGGCACAATAAACCATAGCTTTTGAACCATTCAGAACGCGCGTGCTATCTTAGTTATTTAATAATGTGTAATACAAACACAGAATATAAAGTTGAAAGACGAAACATAATGACAACCCTTTTAAACCACTTGTTTAAATACTATTAAAGGTAAAGGTGAAAAAGAGGGTAAGTGCAAAACCTTTCTCGTGAAAATGAGTTTTATTTGCGTGAGAATATAAAAAAAATAATTTTCACATCAATAGCTTCGCAGTTAGCCTCGGTTTGAAACAGAGGCTTGTGGCAACTCGGAATTGACCTTTTCAACTGATGTCGCTAAAATGTATTTTTTGTGTTTTCTTTTAAACTAGTCATCTATTTTTATTACAAAAACGCAGTTGCACTTTACGTAAGCGATCACACAAAATGCCAGATTTAGTGGAACTTGCATATGAGATGCAGGGGCGGATCTAGGGGGGAGAGTGCAGGGGGTGCGCACCCTCCCCTCCCCTCACCCCCCCCCCCCCTCCCTTGAGATGATCTTCGGCTTTCAAATACAAATGGTATTCTGAAAAAAATAATTTTTGTTATTGATATGGTTTTAACGGACCCAACAGAAATTTTTTTTGTCGTTTCCGTAACAATTTATTTCCTCTGGATTACACAACTTCGTTCCAAGAGGTCCCCATCTCCCACTCGTCCCTGTCTCGCTCCGCGTAGAACCCTTGGAACGGGGTTGAGAATTATAGTTTAACTAAGAAATGTTCCAACACATAATTCTATTCAACATTTTTTCGGGTTTTTGGTAGCATTGGGAAGTAACGGATGCTGATGTTGAGCTGGCAGACTTGAACCGTACGTTCGCGCCGGACGTGTGAACCTTGAACTTCTAGGGGGTTTCGGGAACATGCTCCCTCCCGGCTATTTTGTAGGTTTTTCAGGCGAAAGTAAACAACCGAGGCGAGGGCGTCAAGCAACTGAGGCACGCCCCGTAGTTGTTTTCACTCGCCTGAAACTTATTGTTCCAATAATCTGCAGAATAATAGATATTGACAGCTGATCTTTTCTTGTTTGGTTTTAATGTCAGGTTACGAGTCTTTTTCAGAAAAGGTTACAGAGTTCATGGAAAAGCAAGGGATTTCATCTAGGTCAGGGTTGGCAATTGCCTTATACATATAAACTCGCTTAACTCTTAGATTTCTAATATTCACCAACGTGAATTCTTCTAACATTATCAATACGTGATCAGGGGAAAATTTATAAGAATTAAAATTGATTGAAAGATGTTGTGATCTTTTTATCGCTACACTGTACTACTATCGTTAAGGCCGCTGAACGGCGTTGCGATCATGTGGAAAGCAGGGTTTACAATTTATTTAAATCTGACAAATTCAGTTCTTAAGTTTCACCTTCCCCTATACTTCTCAACAAACACTTCGTGTATTCAGGCGACGACGACATTGTAGGGAGTTAAAGCAAAGACGACGGCGAAGGCCGCAACGAGAATAAAGGTCGCTTAAAAAGTGATTTCGGGTTCTTTCAATATTTATCGCGATTATTCCGATTTACTTTGTCACATGCAGGCGAACTCTCCTGGAGCTGAGTTCCTAAGAAAAATACCCAAGTTCATAAAGAAAAGGAAAATTTCGTCCTGGCTTGTTTACTTCCTCCATTAAACGTCAAGTCCGGCATTTTAACTTCGTAGTCGTGTAGTGACTGCAACGAAATGCACAAGAAAGCGTCATGCACCTGCAGAAATCTTGTTTTTGCTCATTAATCCTGTTGCTTTTTTGACGTTCTCGTCGTTGGATCTTTGGGTCCCTAATTATCAGAGAGTAGTCACGAGCAGATGACGTCAGCTGTTGCGTTTTTCGCTTCGAAAGATTCTTAATACCTCTTAAACTGTACGTGTTGTTTATGCGAATGCACCAAAAGAGCGGTAGTTGAATGTTAAGAACTCAACTCCCCAGCCCCGTCTGTCGGTCATTTGTTGGTCTAGTATCTTGCAGACATTTTTTAACTTATTTCAAAAAGTTTTACTTTTGAACAGCGAAACGTTCATTGATGAATAAAGCTGTATATATGTAGATATGCAAGGCTTTTCAGACTTTTCTCTGAGTCACGATAATCACGTTAGTCATCATTATCGCTTTCATAGAAGTTAATCATAATTCAAACTCAATGAGCGTAGTAACACACGCAAAGAAGAGTGGTTTGTTTGAACAGTTAACAATACACAACTGCTTTCTTTCTGCCGCTTTTCCGGGCTAGTCCTCATTTCTCGAACAGCGGCCTGTAATCGAGCCTAGTCGACAACTTTTAAAACAATGAGCTGTTGAAGTCAAAGTGTATAAGAAGTATTAAGGGTGAGTCTAATAATACTGGAGTCTTTGGCAAGTCACAAACAGTTAAAGGATAGCAATTGATAACCGCCGAAAAAAACTAACTATGTTCTTTTGATAATCTTTCTACAATTAAGTCATTTTTCTTCCCCAGTGGCCCGACTCCTCGGTGGGTGTTCAAACTGTTCCTCGCTGTGGCCTCTGCTGTGCTTGGTGCTTTTCTAAGCTTTCCTGGCATGCGTTTGGCAAACATGTACCTGGATTCACTTTTCTACTGTCGAGAAACTCGCTTTATGCTGTAAGTTCAACTTATATTTCTAGGTCTTTACTCCGTTTTATGAAGCGAGTGCATCCTTCATACTGGCAACTCTCTATTTTCGAATCCCCCATATAAGTACACTAGCTCAGTTTGGCCTTCAATACTCCTGGGAGGACTACATTTTCAAAAAATATTTGGGCGTGGAGGTGATAAAAGTGCGTTATGGGAGATTCGAAAATTGAATGTTCCGCACAGGGGACTTTCTAATTACTCAAAGAATGTTTGTCACGACATTTCTAGTCCAGTGTTGTTTAGTTCTGTCAAGTTACTCACAGCGAAACCTACAGAGAGCAAAGAAATTAATCCTAAAAGACTATATCGCAAGTGAAGGGAAACAGGATTATAGTTATGTATCCAGGTCGCTATATTTCAGACTTACCAAAATCAAACACCTAACGACATTCCAGTCCTTAAAGTATGCAGAATGTTTGAGAGTTTATGCCCGTATTACAGAACTGCAAAATCAGTCGGTGAACCGACAATGCCTTTAAGCTACATGCAAATGGCGCAACAACTCCCAACATTGTTGGCCCAAGAACGTTGGAAGTTGTTGCGTCCGCGTGTAGGCTGTGGTGTCCAAACGAATGCAGCAACTTCCCAACAATGTTGGGACCTGCAGTGCATCGTGGGAACTATACAACCTACAAGACTTTTTTAAACCGTGTGTGATGCGCGTTGTTGGAAGAGCTTTGCAAACGGATCCAACATTGTTGAGCTACGCTTCGGTGGTCACTGAACAAAAGAAACGTTGGGAGTTGTTGGCTCAAACGTTTGACTGGTAAAAAAAAATTGTAAATTGTAAATTGCTTGTTTACCCACGAAGCACATAGGAGTTCTTATGAACTCGTTTAAACGTGTCCGTGCGTTCTAGATCGAATTGGAAATTGAAATTGTTAGTTTTTGAGGTTTCAAACCTTACGCAACAATTCCCAACAACACGCAAGAACATGCAACGGGGTAACCTGAGATCAGGCTCTGTTTTCGTTTCGCTTGTAACGGATGACGTAAGAGAGAATGCATGAGAACCGCTAAACTTGGGCCTTTTCTCAGGTTAGCAACAGGGTGCGTAAATAGACGCAAAATGTAGCATCCAACAATGTTGCGTCCGTTTGCACGGCGCTTCATGCCCAATGCCCTACTGCGGTAGCGGATATGATTATAAAACACCATGAAAGATGATCATTTTGATGATCTTCAGCTTTTTTATTTTTTATTTTCTGTTTTAGGGTTTGTCTCCACGTGAATTTCGTGGCGCCTTTGTTCCTTATTCTGTTATGGGTGACGCCCATCGTACAAGGACCCCTATTGGCTGGCTCATGGAAAGATCCCAACAGTAAAGACAGCCAGCCAATGTAATTTTGACTGTTATGTTTTCACTCTGCAATCACTTTATTTACTTACTTCACTGTTTTACTCACCTTATTGCTAGTTTATGTAAATGGCAATGTCTGAAATATATTGTAAGCTTACCTGGGACCTCAACGCAATGCATGACATTAACTGAAGTACGGAGGATTTTGTCACCATACTCAGATGTTTAAATTGCATAACGTGTCAAAACGATTAATATTCTCTATGATTTTAGGTATCCCTATTTTTTTCTTTTTGTAGACTTCAAAATGTTTTGCTGGAATGATGCCACCCTCTACGTATTCATGAAACGCGCAAAATATAGCCCAACAACACAGCCAACGTATTGCGACGCCACCACTGGTTTCCCTGCGAAATGGAATCTGAGGATCAAGTGCAAAAATTCCATACTGATGACGTGTTACTTGCCTGATCTTGATATTGCTCTGATTGGTTGTGCCGTGAGGGCAACTTGCTACAACCAATCAAAAGCGCTATCTTGATCTGGGTAGTTTCACGACATCAGTATGGAATTTCTTCGTTTGTTCCACAGACGTTATTTTGCCGAGAAATCAGTGGTTGCGTCGCGAAATATGGACTGTTTTCTAAGGCTAGCAAAGTACCTTTGTAACAGAATGTGCTGCCTTTTAAGGAGGCCACTGGGCACTTGACTTGCGAAGTTTTAATCACTGATTCCCGTTGTAATAATTTATTTTCAGATTAACAGAGAAAGGCTACAACAACCTACGCTTCAGCTTGTTGCTGCTGTTCTGCGTTTTACGGCTTAGTCTAGTTTGGCGACATCTTCAGTCATATCTAGACATGGCTCACGAGAGAATTGAAAAGATGAAGAAAGAAACAGGAAGGATATCAAATGTGGACTTACAAAGAAAGGTGATAAATCCATTTTCTTTCATTTCCTCTCATTTCTTCTCAGCAAATATGTGCCTGGCTTTAAATAGAAGTTTAGTTTGTGATATATTTGAAGTTGATAGGGATTTGATTAGACTTGCTACAAGTCGACCTCACGAGTTTCCTAGCGAAGGGAGCGGACGAAGGACTTTTTTGAAGGTCTAGGATCTAGGATTTGATTTGTTGACTAGATTTAAAGTTTTAGCTTGTTCAGAACGAAATCTCTTTTAATCCCTTTTTTTTTCAGTTGTGAATTATTAGGTACTTAATACTATTTTTAAATTACTCTATTTGTATTTGTCCCTCAATTTAAGTTAAATTTATTCGTATTACACAGGTCGCCCGCGTGTTCTATTACTTGTCAGCGGCTGCTCTTCAATACCTAGCCCCAACGATTCTCCTTCTCTTCTCAGTATTGATGCTGCGTACATTGGGTAGGTTTACAGCATGACTTCTTTTAAAGGAGCTTTGGCTATGGCCACAAGAAATCCTCTATCGTTGTCAGCGCATACTTGCATAAAAATATTCTTTGAGTAAAAATATATGTATTGTTTTAGTGTCGGTGCCTGGCTGGGATTCGATTTCATAACCTTTGCCAGCGCACCCTGTCAGTACAACCTTTCTTTTGCTTTCTCGAATTTGGCGTAGTCGAGAAAGACTCAACATGAATCGAGTAAGATCTTTTTTGAGCATGCGTCTCATGTTGCTAAGCCTATGATATTTTTCCGCACGGTACAACGGGCTCTGTTATGGACAGCGGTTTGTCAATGAAGGGATGCTCGCGCATAAAAACCCAGTTTTACGAGATAATACAAGATTGACTGGTCCTGAAGTTCGGGCTGCCGTTACTTCAAAGGATTGACAGACAAGTTTCAAGTAGAACCTCCTTTCTCCTCCTCGATCAAGGTGATGTTACACGGGACGAGTTGCAACGAAAAATTTGAGCGCAACACATCTTTGCAATGTTGGAACAATCCTGTAACTATTCCAAACAATGTCGCAACAATGTACGTTGCAACGCTGTGTTGCGCTAAAAATCGTCTTTGCGAATCGTCTCGTGTAACATCACCTAAAAGGAAGTTCTGCTCGCAGCGTTTTGCCGTCGTCGTCGTCGTCTACTGTATCTTTAGTGACCTTACGCAGCAGGACGGGAGAGGAAAGAACACGGCAAACCTTGTGTGACATCATGATAATAATTTTGTTTGAAAAACGTTTCCGCCGAACTTCACCCTCCATTAAACAGGTCTTTTTGTACAAGACCAGAACACGTTAACTTAAGTGAAGATCACCACAAGACACATAAGTAATAGGCCTGTCACGTTTGTCACAAACAAGAGTTTTGTCGTCCTCATCTTCTTTTTGCCGTTCTGTTGCGCAAAACTCGATCCAACTGAACAAACTAGGCCGGGTTGCTGTAGGGGACGCGGAAGATCCCTACATACGCTAGCGTTCAGTTAGAGTGAAGGACGTGTAAGCTCCGCTATTTTGGCTTTATTATTAATAAAGCAATTTAAGTGCTCTTGAATCAGAAACTACATCTTGATCTTAAGATAATTTCTCAAAAGCTACTTCTTGCCTCCTTCGCGTTTGATTACTTTCTTGCTTTTGTACTAATGTAACCTGCTATTCCACCTTTGTTAACTACACTGCTTTGGAAATTTATCTTGTTTTAAAAACGTCTCTTGGTAGCAAAGAAACGTCTGAATGTTCAAGGTCATTGTAAATCCAAATCCCCATTCCAGAAAAAGTGGGGGAATGGATACAAACTTTCGGCGCTACGGTTTCTGGGGTCGTTTGGGTGGACAAACGTTCGTTACATGTACTTATGATTGGTTAATAGTTGCCTTGAATACCATCGACCAATCATAACTAACGCTTGTCCACGCAAACAATCCCAGAAATCACTGCACCCAAAGCTTGTACCCATTCTCCCCAGAGTTTCTGAAGTGGGCTATAACAGTAAAAAGATTTACGTTCAGGCATCACCATAGTTGACCGTCTCTTTGAAGCACTCAGGCGGAAAATTTTTTTAAAAACTTAATGGCGTCATTTTATAAGTTCGTATTTCCAATCACTAGGTTGTGGATTACAGTGGGGTTCTAAAAATCTCCCGGCATTGTAAGATTTACACACTCCTTGTTTGTAATTTTGGATGAATTAATTAAACATAAGTTGTTTCTTTAGGTTGTTCAGACTGGAACAGTAACCCTGTTGGTGTATCCCGTATCCAGTATTCCTCACTGATATCCAATAGCACGAGAGAAGCCGCTCTGAGTCTGCGTGGAGTACTTACCCCTGCGTTGTTCCAGGGAATCATGTCTTACATGGTGTGGTGGGTGTGTGTGTCTTGGTTAATCACCTCGGTGTTTGGAGTTGTTTATCTCAAGATGTTTGAAGCAAGTTGACACTACACTCATAGGCAGCCTAGTCCCTAAACGTTGTCGGCTCGGTTAAAACTACAGCCCACCGTGAGCTGTGACGTCACCGAGAAAGACTCGCCCAGATTTCTCGCGGACAATGGGGGAAGAGAGAATGCCTGGGGACTAGGCTGATTCAGGGATAGACAGAAGAGGGAAAGACGTGGATTGCGCGATCGACTGAAATGGATTTCGAGGCCGAGAATGACGTGTTGCAGTGACGACGCTCTCTAAATGATCGGAGAAATAAATTCCACTTCGATAAACCTGGATAAAGCTACTTTGATCCTTTGACTGAAATGTTATTATTGGACAGCAGCCCCATGAAAGTTGAGATCAGTTGTAAATTCAGCCAGAGAAAGGACATTTTCCTGGCCTCCGTAATAAAGTCTCTGAAACAGTTACTGTATGCAGGCTATACTCAGAAAAGAAGTTACCATGGTGATTTCCCCTTTATGTTTAATGCTTGTCTCTTGAAACCTCCGAATTTCAATAATTATTCTACTCTTTGGACCAAATAGACATCTTTACCTGTATGTTTTGTTTTCCTAATGAAGGTTTCAGGGGAATTTGTCCATATGTCTTTTCATACGTTATGCGTGCACATGAAAAAGACAAAATTTAAAAGAGTTTCCAATGTATTATCACATCACCTACTTTTAGACGAGGGAGCGTGAGCTGCAGAAACAATGCTCTCCCATGGTCCCCACGGGGAAAGCATCAACTTGTTGCAATTCTCTCGTTAGTCAGATGGGCTTTAAATGCAATACAGTAAAACCCCGCGACTAAGAACCTGGATTTTAAGAACCAGTTAGGCTAAAATTTGCCTGTTAAGTCCCCTCTATTTAAGAACCTGTTAAGCCTAAAATTTGAAACAGGTTCTTATTTTCTAAGATCTATGAAAAACTTCTGCACACTTAGGCAAATATAAGATATGTCAACTGAACCACCAAATACTCTTCGCTATGTGGTATTTTTTTTTCTTTGGAAACTAAGAACCTATTTAAGAACCTTCATAGCCTAAACGTGTGCTAACTACCATTTATATAAGAACCTGTTTAGGCTAACTTGGAGAAATCCAGGTTCTTAGCCGCGTGGCTTTACTGTATCCAACAGAAATAAAACTGAAACATGATTTGCTTTGCGAGTTTTAAGAAACAGAAAATTACTGTTATCCCACAGTATTAAAACCCAAAATGTTGACCTTGTCACGTTTTATGAGCGTAGAACGACAATAGCTTTTGGAATTTCCGGTTGGATAAAGTTAGTTAGGATATAACTGTCATTCTGTCTTTTTGGGGACGGAGCTGGATTGGAGGTGCGTTGTGTAAAGTCCCAGTTAAAAAAAAAAAATGCCGATGCTTTGTTTTTTCTACCTATTTTTAGCGAAGCTCTCTCGCGCGCAGCAGAGCACCGTGGGTAAGAAAGTCTGGTTATCTATGCAACCAAGACATTTTGGTTCTGACAAAATCGTCCGTCCGTCCGTCCGTACGTACGTCCACCCCTTCATGTAAGATGGAATGAAATTTTGCATTTCAAGCACCCCGCGCGTTTCGGCGGTAAATTGCATGGCCACCTGGGCTTTTAGAGAGAAAAACAACAACAACAACAACAAAGCTGAGTCTTTCTGTAGACTAAAATCCAATGTCCACATTAACGTGGATAACGGAGAAAGTGCTAGTGCGAGAATGAAAAAAAAAAAAAGAAAAAGGAAGACCAATTTCGTTGGAGGAAACTAGCCTGTTCACAGACTTTCTATTTTCTCCTACAAGTCCACCGAGCGTGCGTGATAACGATAAAAACAGCGGGAAATTAAATGACCGCTAGCGTAAGGGGGTGTGGGGGAAAGGAGAAAATATTCATTTTTCTTTCTCGCGCTTCGCGCTCGCTCTAGTCGAGCCGATTATCAAAAAGAATTTTAAAAAATAACGTCTGTGTACATGCTAGAAGAGACACTTAAAAATGAGTTGGGGCAGGTGAGAAAAGGAGAAATGCTAGCGGCTACCAAGGTGAAAATGTGCGGCAGTGAAAAAAATAAGTGAACAGGAACTCATGCATACAACATTTCCTCCATAAGCCTGCTTGCAAACAGACGTCGTGCGTGTTCGCAGTGGTGTGCAAACGGATGCAACAACTCCCAACAATGTTGGGACCTGCAGTGCATCGTGGGAAGGATACAACCCATAAGTCTTTGTAAACCATGCGTAATGAGCGTTTGTGGCCCCAACAATGTTGGAAGAGCTGTGCAAACGGATCCAACATTGTTGCGCTACGCTTCGACGATCACGGAACAAAAGAAATGTTGAGAGTTGTTGGCTGAAAAGTTTGACCGGCTTCAAACTTTGCGCAACAACACGCAACAACATCCAACAACCTGAAACAGGGTGTGCAAACGGACGCAACAGGTAACATCCAACAATGTTAGGAGTAGTTGGCAAACAATGTTGCGCCCGTTTGCACGGGGCTCGAAACGTGTAACTAGAAAGTTTCTGGAAGTTTCATTTTGTAGTCGTGCAAAACAACGGCAAAAAAAGTGCTTTTATACTAATTAGACCTCTTGTTGTTTTTTACCGTTCTCCTTATCTTCACCGTTTTTTTTAGCATTACACGATTTTATATTTTGTTTGAGTAAACTATAAATATTAAAGAGAGCCTCGCTTTTGCCCTGGCTAAATCTATATATTATTCATAACGGTCAAAGGTACTTTTCAGCCCGGCTTAAATCGCGCAGTTGGCAGACCAATGAGCCTGGCCCCACTATGGGGGTCTTGTTTCTTGTTGTGCTCCCTGAAAAAAATCTGTTATACTACACCCCCTACCTCCCCATAATGGCCACTTCCACAACGGCCAATTTCTTCTGTCCGCAAGGTGGCCGTTGTGGAGAGGTCGACTGTATAATATATGTTTTAACAAAACGAAAACTCGGTAACGTTTACATAGAATTAAAAGGTATAGCTATTACTTGCATGTGATCTAATTTGTGTTAAATCTGGACCAAAAATGGACCAAGTCATCGTACAAGTTCATCCTTCACAGATGAATATTAAGGTACGGAAAAACGGGCAACAAAAAACGTGCAACTTGTTTTGCAACATTGCTGCAAAACGAGTTGAATAGCGATGTTGCGCGTCTTACCACCCACATCAAACCTGTCTTGCAACAAATCAGGTTGTTACTGAAAAGGTTTGAACATGGGTGGTAAAACGAGCAACATCGCTATTCAACTCGTTTTTCAGCAATGTTGCAAAACAAGTTGCACGTTTTTTTTGCCCGTTTTTCCGTACCTTTAGGTGCTCATCAACAACATTAAACATAAAAAAGTGAAAGAAGTAAATGAATGATGTGAAGGATCCTCTCAAGATCCTTAAAAATCTAATTTTTACATATTAAAGGTGAAAAGACATTTGCCTCGCGTCGAAAGAACCTCTGCACAATTCTAATCCTTACATAGTATTTGACAACAACTTCGAACTCTCTCAAGGACATAAAATTAAAGCGGAAGAAACGGCCTTAACCATCTGAGAACATATGCCAAGGCGAGTAGCAAAAGAATGATTTGCTAGAAAGAGCTGTTTCAATGAAGTGGAAAATTATAATTCTTTTGCTGCTTTGTATCGCAGTTTTTATGGGCTACAGATGTCAAAAAGAAGCATTTTCATGCAAAACTTAAAAATAAAATACTCCATGTTAATATTTGTATAAAGTGATTACAAAAAAGGTGTAATCACAAGGCGAGCATTTTGTTTGTCCCTGAGGAAACTTGTATTGTTGGATAGTTTTTTCAGGTGAGATGGATGATGAAAAGAACGAATTGTTTTCTAACTCACACTGTTTTCCCTTTCTTTTCCCTTTATCATACCCTTTTTTTTATTCCGGGTGTATGAATAGAACCTACACTATATAACGCGCGCCTTTCAACTTCTATTTTTCGGAAAGAATCTTCATCATGGTTTTCACTCAGGCCTTTCTTCTTGTCATTGTGGCTTATTCAGTTGATGCCCTGAAATGGAGTAACTGTGGTAAGCTAAATAATATTTTTTTTACATATTATAGTCACTTTTAATTTCTTTCTTACTCATTAATCGATCCTTCAAGAGTTCACGGATTTCATTTCCTGTTATTTTAGTGTGAATTTGTATTTCATATTTAGTTTAAACTTGTACTGTTGCTTGTTTATACCCTAACCCTAACCTTACCAAACACGATTAGCTTATTAATTCCGCCAATTTATAGGAAATTTACGTTTCAAGCTGTTTATTTCATGAAACGGTATTACTCGAATTTCAAAAATATGCATCGCGTTAACTTTCCTCGGCTAACGTTAATTTTCGCGCGATTAATTAAGTGAAGCGTTTAATATTATAGTTGCCCTAAATTCTCGATACAATTTGACATTCTTACACGCCTAAGCCGATCAGAACCTAAGAAGCAGGAGTATTTATCGGGTAGGTGATTCACCAGTATTGAAACTGTGAAGAACCCTAGCATTGGGCAGATTTCTTTGCTTGACCCCTTTCGTTCGTTTAGGGAAAGTACCGACCACAAACAAAGTTTCCATTTCAGTATCAGTATATACGTTTAAATTTTTTCCTGTTGTCTCAACTGCAAGTTTTGTTTTTTGTGAACATAGCGTTATTTTTTAATTGGAAAGTCGTTTTCCATTTAATTCGATTCTTAAATTTCAGTGAAACACTCCAATTCCGTCATGGGTGTCGTCATGGAACGTTAATTTCCTATAATAAGGTACTTCCTCATTCCGCGAGGGTTAATCATAGCAAGAATTTTACCAACGATTTTCAACATTTCTTTGCAATTGTTTCTAGTTCAGTGCAGACTTAATTTTCTTGTTTCCACTTTCGAAAATGTTCCTCAAAACTGACCAACAAAAAAACTTCGATCAATTAATGTTCGTCTCCACCTTACCACATTTCATCTGTTTGTATCTTGAAGACAGGGCCCTTATGTCTGTTTTTTCATCGCATGAAACATTTATTATGATATGGACCACCTATATCATGATCCAAAGGTCCTCACAAACAACCAGGGTAACCAAAAAGCTTACTAGAAATGGATATTATGCGAAACCTTACCAACCCATCGCTTATTTGCCCAAACGTTAATTTGTTTCCGGTTTTGTTTGAACAGATGGTAGCTCTCCTGTACAAATAAAGGACATCAGCCTCTCTCCACACCCTGTGATCCTTCAAAAGGGGGCAAAAGTAACATTCAGTGGAATGTTCAAGGTACAGAGTGCTGTTGGAATGAACTATAAAATCGACGTTAAGTTGAAGAGAAAGGGCTGGTGGGGGACATGGATTCCAATCCCTTGCTTCGGAAAGTGGTAGGTAAATTAAAAATCGATCAGTTACAAAATAACAACAGCAACAACAACAACAAAAAAAACAGAGAGAGAGAGAAAGCGCTTTGGTTATATTTTCACACCGAATAAGAGATGGAATAGAAAAATTGTAACTTGTATATGTTAATTCAGAGTCATTTTTGGAAGCAGAGGTGGTGCAGTGGTTTTGACTGAGCAGTTGCCTCCCAACGAATGGACTCCTATTCAAATCCCGCGGTCGACGCCATATGTGGGTTGATTGTTGGTTCTCTCCCTTGTTCCGAAAGTTTTTTTTTATTATTATTCTAAAAAATCAACACTTTCACCTACTGCCGTTCGATCTTGATCATGAACGCGCGGACACGATTTAATCCCACGTCAGGAAAGCAGATTCCGAAATCAGGGAAATTTTTGTGTCTGGAATCCGTAATCCGGAAAACTTTGCTTGTGGAATCAGAAATCCTGGGCTTTGGAATCCCAAATACAACTCAAGGAATCAGGAATCCCACTATAGATTGGAATCCAGAATCCAAGCTCCACTGAAAAAAATCCGGAATCCAAGGCGTGATTCCCTTACATGCTGGTCGAACTATTAAACTCGAGTTCTTAAGAACTCCATAGTGCTTCATGGGTAAAAAAAAAACCTACAATTTTTCTCGATTGCTACATTTTAAACTCCCTAAATTGATGATTCACAGAAGGGGTCAGCCATTAATGGATTTGTGGAGAAAAATATATTTAAAACATTTTCCTTTAAAATTGTTACAAATTTTCCTGTGAGTAACAAAAACGGCGTGCTTTTCTTTACAGTACTCATGACATTGGATGCAATCAATTAATCGCCTTGTTAGAAGGAGAAAGATGCCCTCTTCGGTCGCCAAAAGAGTACACCGTGAGAAGACAGGAGCACGTTTTGCCGGACGTCAATCTTCCTTCATTTTTGACTAGTGTAAGTATCTATACAATGAATACACACCTTACATCACTCCCTCAGCGGGATGATGTTAGAGAGCTTTAGATTGGAGGACGAGGACGGCATTTAATTTTAAGTTTTCTCACACTTCGGAAAGCATCATTGTAATTTTTTTCTCTACAAAAGTTAGCTAGCTTATTTCCTTTGGCTAAATGATAAAATTCCTAACATTTGATAACTCGTTTTCGCCACTACGACGTAGAATGACGATGGCTATCACGTTCACATTTTTCCGCCAAAATGACGTTGGTTCGCACGCTCGCGCTACTCAGTATTGGGAAAATGTCGTTCTCGCAGTCGTCCTAGTCTTAGAATCATAAGATCTCTATTAAAACGGGGAACAGAAAAATGAAAAAACAAAAACAAAAGCAAAAAAAAAAAAGGTAACAGAAGCTAAGTTGAGCCCTAGCCCTATCAATAACTGCATGTCCAATTCTCTGCTTTGTTCTAGTTTTTAATTTTCTCGTTTCGCGGTACCTGTTTGCTTTAAATCAGATACGAGTTTGTTGATATAAATAGACATAGAATAAATGTACATAACAAGATATATATAAAAAATATTTTTCTACATACAGGCTTCAACATTTTATGTCCGTTATGAGTGTAAGAGGTTACTACTCCAGTAAGAGGATATGTGTTTGACGTATGACACATTTGACTTCGGCCCTCAGACACCTTATTTGCTATCCTTTTGTGTTACGTATTTCAGGGCACGTACAAGGTTCAGGCAGATCTGAGAGATAAAGCAAGCAACAAGCGGATTTCTTGTGTAGAAGCCGTCGTGACAATAACGAGCTGAAGAATGCCTTTGTTGCTAACGAAAAAAAGGAAATTAAAGACACTTTAAATTGAAATATCAGAATTATTCAGTTATTTCTTGTCATTGTGATCTATCATCTTTTGGGCGCCCAAACTGAATTTTCGATCCTTGTTGCCATTTGCCTCTGGATATCTGGATTTTCCCCGGCTATTCACAAATCTTCTCTCTTTTTTCGTTGTCTTTATTTTTTTTTCAATGTCTTCTGTGAAGTTTGGTTATAAAATATAGGACTTTAAAAAGTTCTTATCTTCTAAGAGGGGACATGATATCACTCCTGTGACAATAGGCATCATTACCACACCGTGATGTTGTTGTTTTTGCTTTCGCTACAACTTTTGCGCCATAACTCAATCGGGAAAGTTTACCTCGCTGGCTAGTAATGGGCTAGTGATGGCTACTCTCCGTAGCAAGCGTTTCCGCGTGTGTCCGTCGAAAAAGTTAAACTTCCAAAGAAACAAAAATGGCAGCTCGTAGTCACGTGACGTACTTGACTGCTTGCAACTCTCAGTCACGTGACCTACATAATAGGAAAACAACAACAACAACAACAGACATGGAAGAGCATGAGGAAATGAGCTGTATAAAATGATCGAAGGCCAGTCCTCTGACAGCCTCCTCCATACGGTCTTTTCGTTTCCTATTGGGAAGCGAGCCGGGAAGACTCTGCGGAGTGGATGAATGTCAAAACGGCTACGATTTTATGGGTTTAATTTTGGAATGTCTACTTAAAAATCGTTACTCCCATTATTTGTCTTATGAAACTATTTTAGGGTTGTGTCCAATAATTTTGGCATGAGATAGGTCACGTTACCCGGCCCAGTCTCTCACTGTGAATCACGCTGTCAACCTTCACTCGGGTTTCACTCGGGTGCACTCGGGTGGACATTACGTGAACCTTACGTGACAGTCTTGTGCTTCTGTCATGACTTCGCTATTTTGACCATCAGAGCAGTGACTTGGGCACTGATATTGCTTTGCGGAATTTCAAACTAAGACATGGCTTCGTCTCTTAAAAACTCTGCAGAGTTTTCTGCCTTGCAAAAACATTATGAGTCAGCCTCGAAACTCCATATGCGGAGTCTCTTTGAGAGCGACGCGCACAGATTCGACAAATTCAGGTACAGCTTAAATTTTAGCACGTTCACCAATGCATAAGAAAGCTTAATTAATTTCCGAGTTTCCTTAACACTGGATTTAGTTGTAGTTTCCTTCGTCTCTTTCAACCTGAAAGTGCTTTTAAATACGTTTAATGGGATGTTTAACTGAGGTCGAGCCAACAGCTGCTGGTTTTAGTTGTTTTGTAACGTCAAAGTAAATTTCGTGACCCAACTTTCGGAACATTTTAAAGCTTACAAGCTCTTATAAAGATTGATTAGGTGAAGTAGACAGTTTATTCGATTTTAACATTCTTTCCTTTTATGTTACTAAAAAAATCCCACAAGTATCGAAAATAGCGTGGCTTGTTCAATTTTTCATGTTTATTTCATTCATCAATATCATTCTTTATAATTATTATCAAGCTAAGTTTATGTCTATGAATAATATAGCTATAGCCCGAAGTGTTTGGCCTAATTATTGTGAACAACCTTTCTTTCCTTTTCTTATGTAAATCATATTGTTGAAACAATAATATTTCTTTGTATTATTTGTTCAACACGACTCCCAAAGGAAAAGTAACAGGAAAAGATATTGTCAGTCTATTCACGAAAGACTAGGGAGTAGACTTTCAAAAAACAAACAAACGCCCAAGAACAGAAAACAGTTCACCAGCAGTCCCTTTTTGATTAGTTGAGTAGATGAGCTAATGAAAGGGAGTAGGATGGAGTTAATTAAGAAAAAGGAACTGCACTTGCACAGACTCACTGATAAAACTTTTTACTCTGTCAAGCAAGAGTAACAAAAATCAACCTGAAAACTGACAAAAACCTGAAGTGAGCCCAGTGCTAATATTTGAACCTGTGAGATCCAGGAGCAAAAGTTTGGTGCGAGGGGCCACCAGGCATTTGCTGGACTGCTCACAGCTTTACTATCTGTTAAACTGAACCTTATGGCCGCATGAATAACAACTGTATGAAGTATTTGAGCGTCAATATTTTTTTTCCATAGCACACAGATTGAAACTTCGGATGGCACTATTCTGGTGGACTATTCAAAAAACATCATTACAGAGGAGACCATGAAACACCTCATGAATCTGGTTTGTTTTAAATGATTATTTTTTAAACAGTTTATTCGAATTAAGAGATGACAAAGAAGTTTGTTTTTCTTTTTTTTTGGTAGGCCAAAGCAAGGGGTATTGAAAGTGCTCGGGATAAGATGTTCTCCGGAGAGAAAATTAATTTTACTGAGGTTTGTTTAACTTTGTATAATCTCAACTAAAGTATGTTGTAGTTTCAATTATTATCTTTTCATTGCTGAGTAATGGTCATTTCCCATTGCTGATTATCAGCAAAAGCTTTTAAAGCATGTAGTAGAAAAATAATACAACAACGGTATTGCTTTCTTGTCACCCACATTTACATGTACCTCATTACATGAAATTTTGGTGACACTTTAATTCAGCAAATTTAGCACCAAAATTAAGTGTCGCTAAATTTAAATTGTCGCTAAATTAAAGTGAGCACAATATGAAATTCTTCCATCTGGTCAGTTTCATACACGTCTGCTATTTGATATAGTCGATTGTGACGTGTCTCTTGCACATTTCAGTCATTTCAGCTTGATAACTGAAATGGATGAATCACAAAAATTAACTGACTTATGTTCCAAAATTTATGAAAAATTGCTTTGTTAAAGTGCTGCTAAATAATTCAAAATTGCTGATTTTTAGTGTTGCCAAAGTTTCATGTAATAACTAAAAGGTACATTTTTCCAGGCGTCCTCACTGTGGTAGAGGAGCATAGTAAGAAAGATATTGTTCTAATTATCCTGTTAAACTGATTAACTATCTTTCAGGACCGAGCAGTTCTTCATGTGGCTCTCAGAAACCGTTCCAATAAACCAATCAATGTAGATGGCAAGAATGTAAGTTGCAGGTGTATGTGGGAATAAAACTCAGTATATTTTTCTGAAAAGATTTGTTCCATGTCCAAAATTACTTTAATTATCTTTTACAAACAACAGTATTAAAACCTCATGATAAAATTAATTAAACGTGATTATTATCTGACTTGCCTTAACTTGACCTTATCTTCAGTGTGCTTCATATGCAATAAGTTCATAAGTGGATGGAATATAATTGTCCGGGTGATCATAGTCCTGAATAGGACTGTTGTTGACAGTTACTGACATTTCAACAACCTATGCAGTATGTCAACTTCGATCAGAATCAGCATGAGCTGTGTCACATCAGTTGATGGTCTTAAACGGTCATGTGATTCTTTTCAGCAGATATAGTTATACACTGTTTTGTCAGCTGTCAAATGACCATAATATGGATGTCTATATTACCAAGTTAAACACAGGTTTCAGGCTCTCATACTAGCTAGAAAAGTGACATTTCACATTGGTTTTCTTGTTGTGCGGATGGAGGCCAGACGGGCGGACGTACGTTCACGTGACTACCAAAATTTCTCAGATACATAGCTAACAAAATTTCTTACTCATGGTGCTCTGTTGCATGCGTAAAGCACGCGCAAGAGTTCCGCAAATACATGTAATTTAGTGCAACTAATTATTTGACTTTAGAGCAATTTAAGCATAGCACATGCATGACAATTGATTAGACTTGCAATGACCAGTGCTAATAGTATTCATTTTTAAACATTACTAGGTTATGGATGATGTAAATGCAGTTCTTAAGCAAATGCGGAATTTCACTGAGGTACAGTAAATACATACATGAACATTCGTTGCGCATTTCACTTTGGTTTAGAGAGACAGATATCTATCTTCTCGGTTCCTTAAAATGAAATATTCATTGGCAACATAAGAAATGTTACTTTAATGGATGGTTTGATCGTAAGAATTGTTTGGTGCTAACAGCACTGAAAAATTGTGGGTAACAATTTAATTTTCCACTTCTTCCACAGGATGCATGCTCATGAGAACTTCTAGTCGATTTAGCTATCTTCTTTTTGACTGACAATTGTCATTACATTCTGTTATCTTATAGGCTCTTAGGTCCGGTACTTGGAAAGGTATGTTGTAACTTACACGTAAGAAAGAAATAAGTGTTCAATGTCTTATTAACTCAACGAAAACACCATATCTCTTTGATATGCCCCTGCTTTTGTACGTGAACATCACAAATTGCTGGCTCAAGCTCCAACCAACCCGTCCACCTCCCCACCCAGCCCCTGCTAGACAAGGTTTCTTTCCGGAGTGGATTTTAACGTGAACGAAGTCGTTCACACCGCTAACATTCGTGTAGTTGGCGTGTTGCAATTACACGAATGTTAGCGGTGCGGACGTTTTTAGTATGCCTCCTAAAGACCTCTCTTTGCATGGTATGGACAAAATTACACCGTGGAAACTAAAACCCCGCAAGAAAATTCCTCATTTTCATGCGCATGAACATGGAGAATTTTATCTCTTTTCTCTGTGTCTTGCCTCTCCTTGCGCGCTGCGATTTTCACGCGCTTGCGTATTCGGTGCGCTTTACTATCCTTCGGCTGAGGAAAATGAGGGACTTCATGTACTTTAGTTCCTTTTCCCCTTAGTCTAGCCCTAAGGGAAACAGTTATATATTTTGTTTCCCGAGAATCCCAATGGCTCCGTCCAAAAAAAAGGAGTTTGTTGTCCGGTGGCGCAGTAGTGCTTATTATAGTTACTTACCTGCCATCGGTGCAAAATCACATTTTTTTTAGGCTATGTTCACACTTGCGGACACGAAAAATTATCCAGTATAGAATGAACACTTATATATCCCATATGGGACTCTCCACTTTATAGAGATCGGCACGGCGCACCATCGCGCCCTCGCGCCCTCGCGCCCTCGCGCCCTCGCGCCCTCGCGCCCTCGCGTGTTTTCGCCGAAATCACCGTTCTTACATGTGTGTGAACAGAAGCCGTATCTGGTATGGTTTTCGTTCTAGCTCAAAAGCTATCCGGTTTAGTGTGAACATAACCTCAGTTTGGTTGAATGTGAGTTTTTAATCTCGTTAAGCACGAACCTGTGTAGCGCCAGAATGGACAGGAGGTAATAGAAAGCACGGAATGTAGGGAATTTGAGATAACGAGATTTTGCAGTGATTACACGTTTTGTTGGCATGAGCTCACCGGACGGTGTATTTTGGTGTATTGTACATGTAATAACCAGTTGGTAATGGATTTTGTTTGTTTTTTTTGTTTTCAGGCTATACTGGCAAAGTAATTACAGATGTTGTCAATATTGGAATTGGAGGATCTGATTTGGTAAGCTTATCAAATTATTGTTCATTTCGCGGTTGGGCGTGAGTCTAGGTCGGCGTCAGGTGCATCAAATTATAGGGCTATCCAGGGGACGCTAAGGCTTGTTTTATTGGCTACTAAAAGGTTGCCGCGTTTAAGATACGTGGTAACGTGACTTCATGGCTAGGTGGCTACAGTATGTTGCTACGTGGCTAGTGGCTACGTGGTTATGCGGCCACGTGTCAACGGGGTTACAAGGCTAAGTGGTTACATGGGTGTGTTGTTGCTTTTTTGGCTGCTGGGTGCAACGTGGCCTCGTGGCTGCATGGCTATGTGGCTACCTAGCCACGTAGCCGCGTGACTGCCTACATGCCTACGCGACAGTTACTCGGCAACGTGGATACTTCAGCGCCTCCACATGGCAAGACGTAATGTATGTTCATAATCTCCTTTTAGGGACCTCTGATGGTGACTGAGGCGTTGAAGCCTTACGGCAAAAAAGATCTGCACGTTCATTTTGTGTCTAATATTGACGGAACTCATCTGGCTAAGACTGTTGCAACACTCGATCCAGAAACAACCTTGTTCGTTGTCGCCTCAAAGGTATGGTCGATTTGATATGCATGAATGGTTCAAATTGCTGTTAAGCCCCGTGCAAACGGACGCAAAATTGTTATCCACCAGCCCCAACATTGTTGGATGTTACATGTTGAGTCCGTTTGCACACCCTGTTGCATGTTGTTGGTCAAAGTTTGAAACGGGTCAAACTTTTAGCCACGTGCAACTCCCAACAATGTTGGGAGTTGTTGGCCAACAATTTTGCATTCGTTTGCACGGGGCTTTAGTCACTGTCATTCTTATTATCTTCTCGAGAATTAACTTCTCACTTTTGATCATTCACATTAACTTCTGTCCTATCTATCCTGCCCTCTATGTAGGTCGAAAAAACGTTTTGTTTTTGGGTACATGATTTGGTTTGGTTTCCTATAGTTTACTTTTATGACTTGACATGCCTTCCGCGTTGTTTTGTCTCTATTAAAATCGAATAACACCGGGCTTTACGGTTTTTTTTCCTACTTGACTGTGTGTTCCAACTTCTTTTGCAGACATTTACCACAATAGAAACCATTACAAATGCAAAGACTGCAAGAGAGTGGCTTTTGAATAAACTAAAGGATGTAAGTTACTTCATTTCAGTTGCGTGTTGCCGTTGCGCTCCAAAAACCAATCACAAAAATGCTCAAATTTCTACTTGCACAGTGGACCAAAAACGTAATTATCAAAAAGTCATTTCACCTCTTTCAAAGATTTAATGATTGTGTTCTGTTCGTACCAGGTAGGGAATTGTAAATGCAAACAGATCTCGAACATCGTTTTTGTGGATTACCGTATTTATTCGAATAAGCGCCCAACCTCGAATTAGCGCCCACCTCGAATAGGCGCCTATCCTAAAGGCAGAAAAAGTTTATAAGCGCCCAGCCTCGAATAAGCGCCCACCCCACCCCACTCCCGCCCACAAAAACTCCAATGAGAGATAATAAGAGACCCTCCCGAAGACGGAGTTTTCTTCAGGGTATTGTACAGAAACCTTGCTTTGTTACACCTTCGCTTCTTGTTATTAGCATTTACTGTTTTGTTGCAAAATATACTACTACGGTTGGTGAGAATGGTGAAAATTTAATAAGCGCCCACCCTCGAATTAGCGCCCACCTCGAATAAGAGCCCATTCTCAAGGTCCAAAAATTTTATAAGCGCCCAGGGCGGTTAATCGAATATAAAAAGCTAATCGGTATATAAAAAGCCGCTGTTAATAAGAGAACAAGAAACTTTCAAATAAATAATTGTTTAAAAAAGAGTCATTTACATGAGGATTATTCTGTTTGCGCCCAAATTATAATTCAATACCTCTTTCGCCAATGAATCACTTGTAAGCGAGATGAAATCAGTTTTTGAACCGACGAGAGAATGAGGCGTGTTCAGTTAGAGTCAGTTTTATTTAAGGTAACACTAATCAAAATACCCTGGCTCCAGAGGTCCGTTCTCTAGATATCTAGGATGAAATAACCCGTGCACAGGGATTGATACAGCTTCTGAAACGGAAGAATCAGGAATTGGGAAAGAAAGCAGAAAAAAAAATCTATAGTATCCAGAATCCGCATAATCAAAAGTGTCCTGTGAAATTTTAAAGTGCCCATAAAAAAGAAGCTGCCATATATTTTAAAGAGTTTCTTTTCTTATTTCCTGTCAGCGGTGAACAATGTGTTCTTTGTGTTAGAAATCATTGTTCTTAATTTGGCTTTTACATTCTAAAAGATCATATCCTTCCTTTGACAGAAATCAGCTGTTGCCAAGCACTTCATTGCTCTTTCAACAAACGAGGTATGCACATGGTACGGGTCAACTCTGTTAACATAGATTAACACATTACGAAGGGTTATCCTACGCGTTTTCGACCTCACAACAACTCTCCTCACCTCATCTTGTCTCTTTGCGCTCTGTTGCGCAGAAGCCAATTGCGTCTGATTTCAGTTATGATCTTTACATTAACCCATCGCCCATTCCCCAACCTGGAGGGGCAGGCGATGCAGTTCGTCTTGTCTTTCACCCAAAAGTTGCCCAGCACTGTTGCCATGAACCCACCACGAGGACCAAGGACGCAACTGGTCTAGCCTTTGGGAACACCAAGGTACGAAAACCTCTCCACAGCCACAGGCGTTGAGGCGTAACCCTTAGAGAGGGATTGTTGGACAGCATCGTGTCATTCCGGAGTTATACCTATTCCTCCTGGAAATGTTGCAAAAAATAATGCTTTTGAAGCTAGAAAAGCCGTTTTCTGGTGGCTCTCTCGTTAAAAAAGGACCAAAATTGCCAAAACGTTGTTTATACGTTGCACACTACCTTGTTAACTATTCCTTGTAGGCAAACTTTCGTGATTCTCTCCTCACCTCTTGTTTCGCACCCATAGCTCTGTTTTCTTTCCCTTTCGCTGGCATTTACTAGGCTTCACTTTGGTGGGAACAGTTTTTCGCAAAAACTTTGAGCTTGGTAGGATTAGATTGAAGGAAGACCATGTGGGTAAGGGAACAAGGTCTTCATGGGAATTTAGGTCAACTCTATATAGTTCCTTTCCTTTTTTTGTACGGCCTGTTTACTCAACCTTGCTCATTCGGGTGTGGCCGGATTGAAAGATCCATAAGTGAATGTAAACACTCGCGTCTTAAAACGTGGACGCGGTCCTTAATTCAGGAGAATCCGCCTACTATCAGTGACAAATTGAACGTGCTTGAAAGAATCGCGATGGAGTCGGAAAGAATGCAAGTTCATTTTATAAGTGGTTCCCTATAGTCAGACCCTTTCGCAGGAAATTGTTATAATCCCATGTAGTTAGCACTAACCACTAAATACCGCTTTTAGTAAAGGTTAGTGCACGTTTTTGGGAGTGGCGAGAAGGGTTTTTCTTAAAAAAAAAAAAAGAATTACCCAATGAGACGTTATATAGAAGTGTGTTTGTCAGTTCAGATTGCAACTTTCCACACAATACAATTAACGAATTTATTTGAACACTATTTTGTCATTTCATTCACAGGAGAAGGTCACAGAATTTGGAATTCTCAAGGAAAACATGTTCGCTTTTTGGGATGTAAGTAATTCAGGCAAGACTGATTAAGCACTACTATTTAAATCAAACGGTAACCAACACATGACCACGTGATCAATTATTTCCCCCCATTTTTCACGTCAGCCGTTGAGTTGCTTTTTACGTTCATAAAATGCTCGGGTAAAAGCTCCCTTTTTTATCTTTAATGCTGTCGGATACATAACTGTACGATTCAATATAATGCTGTTATATTTAACGGTGCACATGATGCAAGATGTGATGGAATTGATTGGTATTACAAAAAGCCGACTGTCCGTGCGAAAACACTTTAGAATTGAATATTCACCTTTGCTGGAAGGGATAGAGTGACAAGTTTCCGGTGATTTGGGGTTTGCGCGAAAATTAAGCCAAGCATTTCCGTTCAAAAACGGAAGGCTAGGGGAAAGAGGTTCTCCTTCTATATTTTAGGTTTCCAAGTCATTATCTGTTTATCGAAACCTTTTGAAAAATGATGACGATTTTGGTTGTTTACCATGTACAAAAAGTATCCGGAAAATTCGGTTGGAAACTAAATGGAACACGACTTTTTGGGTCGTTCCAGTGGAAAATTTCCGGGAGCAACGGAACATCTGATAAGGTAATCCTGTTTTTTTTTTTTGCGGACGGAGTTTTCCAAACGGAAATTCGTGTTCCACTTCTTCAAAGCTATCTTTGATACCAGTTTCACGCCTTCCCAGCCGTTTTCGGTAAATGAAACTGATTTTTGCAAATGGTAAACGCTGTTCCGGGACGAAATTAACCAGTCTCGAATTTTGCTTACCATCTGCCTTAACTGTGAACCGACTGGATTGCATATGTAAATCGTAAACAGCCTTTAATTACTTTTGTTTTCAGTGGGTAGGAGGGCGTTACTCTCTGTGGTCTGCCATTGGAATGTCAATTGCTGTGTACATCGGTGAGAAGATTTTTGTATATTCATTAGTCAGAAGTTTCTGTCATACCTAGTGATTTTAGCAACCAAGTGATCGGTAAATTACAGCTGTTAAAAGTGAAGAAAAAAGGGGTACTTACTAATTGTTCCAAAGAAACCTTTTGGAATGATCGCTGAATGATTGTAAATGTTTTTGCAGCAGGTAGGGGAATGACGTTTACCATTTCCAATAAGCCATTTCCGAGTTGCTCCAAGCAAGGCTAAGTGGGAAGGTATTGATATGAAAATCATTATGTATTTATTCTCATGTCAATTAAGCTCGTACTTAGCCTCGTTTAGCCTTCGAACAGCAGACGCATTTCCGGTCGTCGCTTCTCTCCCTCCGAAAAATAGCGTCTGCGGAGGGAGAGAAGCGACGACCGGAAATGGGTCTGCTGTTCGTAGGCTAAGCCTCGTTTTGAAAGTGAGAATTTTCAGAACTCGGAAATGGCCTACTCGCCTTCCGGTTTTGTCGAGATGGCGGATAAAAACCTTTAGTTTGCACATGCAAAAGACTAGAAACAGGGGAAATGAGCAGAGAGTGCACAGTTTGTCGACTTCCCGTTCCGCAGGGTAAGAAACTGAGATGTACCTCCAAATTTGGATTTTCAAGGAAATTGTTGTCATAAGGTAAACACCTAAGCTCTACAGTTGTACCTTTTTCTTTTGCTCTTATCTGTAGGAATGGATAACTTTGAAGCTCTCCTTTCTGGCGCGCATTTTATGGTTAGTGAAAAAGACACTTCTCCATAAGTTTATTTGCTGCATTAGTTCAGTCGAACTTCCGCTAACTGATGCCTTCGGTGATCGCTGGTCGACCTTAATTAGATTTTACTACATGTTGTTTTTACAGGCAACTCCCTCTAAGACGGACACCTTTTGGACCGTCCTAGAGAGATGTCCGTCTTATAGAGAGTCAAATAAAGGGAGTAAAGAAAGGCGTAGGCCAACTCTAGGTGTCCGTTTTAGGGAGGTGTCTGTCTTATAGAGGTGTCCGTTAAGAGAGAGTCGACTGTAGTTTGCTTTGAGGTCCTCCAGCAACTCATTTTAAAATATATTTTTCATTGTAGGACGATCACTTCTGTTCAGCTCCTCTGGAGAAAAACGTGAGTATATCTTCTCTCTTGTGTCTTGTTACGTGTAGTGTAGTTGTAATGAAGGTTCAAAGAAAAGAACCGAACGATCTTCCTTCTCTAGAGTTTCAACCCAGTCGCTCCTGGGAATTTTGCCGAAAAATTCCTTTTGAAGCTAGTCAAGCCGTTTTCTGGTCAATATCTGGGGTCAATTTTGTAAAACTTTTGCAAGTATTATATACAAGTGTAGCCATTGTTTTTAAGTCTGGAAATAATAGCTAGACCTGTAAAAGTTTTATTAAATTGACCCCAGATTATAAAGGACCAAAACTTATTATTATTATTGTTATTATTATTACAATTTATTAGGCTAAGCTTCATTTTGATGGAAAGAGTTATTGGGAACATTTATAGGATCGTAGGATTAGACAGAAAGAATTCTAGGTGGATAGTGTAAGAGGATTTTCATTGGGATTTTCGGGTCAAGTTTAAGGGTTGAATGTTAAAGTTGCCATTGACCATTAAACTGATGACGTAATAAGTGGCGCAAGAAAATGTCACGGTAAATCCGCACGGGTGGTTTTAGACGTTGTGTATTCTTCTAGTCGGCTGTTGGTCCGGGCGTAAGTATTGTGGAACCGTGCGTTTGCGATATCACCGGAGACAATTGTAAGGCTCTGCTGAGCGAGTGTTACGGCTGTCTTCTTCATTTTTTTAATATTGCCAATTAAGCTTTCTTTTGCGCTGTGGAGTGATTTAACGAAAGCTAAGAAATGAATTTGTAAACGTCAAAAATCACAGCACTTTGTCAAACAAATATGTCTCCCAAGCGTTACATCAAACGTTACAAACAACAAAAATGAACTTTGGGAAACTGTTAGGCTGACAAGTTGTCAAAAACCTACAATTACAATCCATTGTAATCTTCTTCACGTTTATCCATCCGTGCCCTCTTTTGTCTTTACTGTGTTATTAATTCCTTCTTTTAATGTGTTGAGCAGTTATTTTTATGGTTCACTCAATTTGTTAGCCGTTTCCTGCTGTTCGAAGTTTAATGAAATTCGGGGTCATGGTACAGGTCCTTTAATGCCTTAAGCAACTAACTACATGTACATGTACTTGATCGGAAACTCTATCATTACAATCTACATATGCTTCACTCTTTCCCGGGAAATACTTTGGAGGCTTTTATTTAGTTTTAACATGCTTATTTCTAACATGGGACCGTATTACAAAGTGCATTTTATGATTTTCAGTTAACGAACATTCCTTTACTGTTAACAATATTCTTGTTTGTCGTTCTTGTATGGTATTAACCACTGCGCGAAAGACTTTTGGTTGGATTACCACGATCCTTTGCGCAGCTAGGTAGGCACCATGATGGTGTCGGGTTTTTAAAGTAAAAAGCCCCACCAATTCTAACTGCCCGGTAGTAGACGTCTGCAATCGTCATACATGTCCTGCGCCTGGTCTTGCGCAACCATCCTTTGCGGTACTTGTTGCTACACACCTTTTTCATGTCGCGCTGAAATGCTTTGTCGCATTGGAGTCGCCTCCATTTATAATGTCGACCCTGAATTTAAAAAACGGTAAGAACTTCAAACTAAGTTTTGTTCTTCTACATTATTTTTAATGTGTAGGCACTCAAAGGATCATTTCGATTATAAGAACTGATCCTTTAACCCAGTAGGATGAAGTATGCGACTCCTTCACTGTAACGAGCTAGAATTACCGTCTTTTGTGCAGATAATGTCAAACGGTTGTCGAACAAATGTCACGTTAAAATGCATAATACAATGTAGATTCTTTCTTTTCAATTGACAGAACCCTTCCGATTCTATGATTTTCTCTCTATATATCTGACTGGATTTATGAAAACATGGCTTCAGTGAGTGTCTAAATGTCCTATGCTAAGTGCGTCCTTGGTACCAAGACTTTGACCCTCCCCACCCAGCACAATGGGTGACTGTTTGCACCTCCCACTGAGCTCTGCATTTATCATGATAATCATTCTCAGCAGAGTCCTGATTCAGCTGGCTAGGGCAAATTAAGGCCAAGGTACTCGCCAGTCAAAGCCTGCACTGAACACTGCTGCTTACTGAAGGGGTTATGTCAAAACAGCCCCCTCCCTACCCCACTAGTTTTAACCCCAAGGCCTGACCCACCGAACACTGCTGCTTACTGAAGGGGTTATGTCAAAACAGCCCCCTCCCTACCCCTTTAGTTTTGACCCCAAGGCCTGATCCACCGACCCACTGTTAGGGCAGTCCCTGGGCTATCAAGCTGTACCGACCAAGGCGTCAAGCCCCCTACATTTTTGGGCACCGGACTGGCCTGGAGCCGGGCTGAGCCCACTGCCAGGCGAAAATCCAGTGGCCACGTTTTAACGAAATCAGAGAGATATATATAACACGGTAGAGCGAACAATAGCCCAAAAGGCGAAGTACAAGTATTTACAGTGTAGTTCAAATATAGAGAAAAAATTTACTTCGTTTGATGCCTCATGGACCAATCAGTGGTTCGCAGCAGCTTACACAACAGAAAAAGAAAAAAATGAAAAAGTTTAGAACTAAGCAGTCAGCAGGTTCCATTTCCAGTCAACATTGCAGGAGGAACTTGTGCAACCGGCTCTTAAAAGATTGAATTCCCGTGTCATTTATAAGGCAACAATGTTGTCCGGCAGGCTGTTCCAGATTTTAACAGCGCGATAGATAAAAACGTTCCGGTTTCTATGTGCGAAAATTCCCGGAATTCGGATTCCCTAACATGGGGCGACGCGTACAAGACAAGAGGGAAAAAATAACGACAAAATAATTTTTTTTGTTGTATGAACTTAGTCGTGTGTATGTTCTCAGCTGACATCGGTATCGACCGATAAAAACGCTCTTCAGTATTCAATGAATTATATAAGTAAAAATCGCCAAACATTGAAGAGTTAATCATTTTAGCTCCAATTCTCTACTTGGCAACTCAAAGATATTTACGATATAGCTGTATTTTGGTGGCAACATATATTAGATTCATTCCACTATTAATTTATTCATTTGCGTATGTTGTATGACATAATGCGGGTATATTGATTTATCTTTTGCTCTGGATTGGCGTATGCAAGCATGAAAATGATAATAGCTATGGTCACGCTACAGACTTTTACCTAGGTAAAAACAATTTACCTAGGGTAAATTCATAAAAAATTTCCCGAGGTAAATTCATCTCGGGTTTTGTTTTACCTAGGTGAAAAATTCTGGGAAGGTCACACTACTGATATCGGCTCCCAAGGTTTTCACGCCAGTTGAATTTTTTGGAGCGTAAATTTAAGAGGGCAAGATGCCCAGGGATGGAGCTGACCAAAGAGACGCTTTTTTTTCTTTTATCTTGCTGTTATTTCTTACGCTAATTCAACGTGCAAGGTGAAGAAAGCCGAAGACGTAGACCACTCGTGTCCCCAAAATTTCTTTCACAGCGTGAGCTATGTCTGTTTCTGTCATCAAGACCTTCGTCGATGAGCGTCGATTGGCTAGCAACCTCGGTATTTCAGTTTTCCCTAGCTATTGCTTTGGGGTAGCTGTCAAGGGAAACTCTTTTGTTCTCGAGACATATCCAAGCCCCAGACGATAAAATTTCCCCGCGGTAAGTTACCTAGGGAAAAATCGGTCACACTTTAAAAATCAAGTTTCCCTAGGTAAACTGTCAACAAGTCGAATTTACCTAGGTAAAAAAAGTCTGTAGTGTGACCACAGCTAATATCTCTAGTTAGGCCGCATCCATACGAATCCAGATACTTTTAAAACCGCATACTGTTTTACACGAATCGGCCATCTGTCCATACGAAACCAGTGAACCGCATATTTCTGAAACCGCTTTCCGGAGTGGATTTTTCTGGATCCGACGGGTTTGGTGAATTCGTGTGGACGACTGAAAGCGGCCATTTGGAGTTGGCTACCTCATAAACTCGGATCCAGTCTTAAATGAAAACTTTCGTGTTAAAAAAAATGCCGTGAAATCACATTTCGGGCTCGATTTGCGGAAACCTACCAGCTAGCATTTAGTAGAGAAAATTTCAAAACTCAGAGCAAAAAATAAGATAACGAAACGTCTTCGCCAGGGCAGGTGAAACACCTTTTAGGCTATTAGTCAGTAATTAGCAAATGTACATATCGCAGTAGCGTATTCGTGTGGACGTGTGAATCCAAACCGGATACTCCACACCGTGTTGACGCAAATATCAAGTATGCGGTTTCAGCGCATCCAGATTCGTTTGGACTTGTCCCTAAGCTATCCTTTTTTAGTAAGAAAATGAAGCAAGTCTTACGCAGTAGTAGCAGACATCGTGTTTGTTGCAAGCATTTCTAAATGTCCTCTTGTAGAAGAATGGAAGTTTTCCTGGTATAGAGCAACCATTGACTTTTACGTAGCATGAGGTCACTTCTGAGATCAAGAACAATACTACCAAAAGACTAAGCACGGCGCATAAGGCTGAGAGTCTCATGGCGATGTCAACCAGACAGGGAGAAAGCCGCTTAAAAATAACAGGAAAAAAACATCAGCTGAAAAAAAAAAAAAAAACTAAGAGACTGCAAAATTTAGAAAGATTGGCTTTGAGCCTAGCCTTCGTAGTAATGCGGACCGCAAAATCCCATTTTTTTTCCACCCTCAAGTTTTACATCCTCCTGATTATTCAAAAACTGGTTCAGTTTTCTTCCTGTATTCTAAATCAAGCAAATTTCTTTTAAAGAGGTTCAAAAAATAAGAATACCATTGGATAACATCACTGAACGCCGCAAACTAAGTCGCAATAAAGGCATTTTAGATACTGTTAGTTACACAAAAACTATGCTATAAATATACTCATTCAGCATAATAACACTGTCCATAGGTGAAAATGAGGTTTTCTTCAATGGGACAATTCTAGAGCATCAAGGAGGTTTAAGAGTGTTCTTGAAAAGAATACAAACCGTGCATACGCTTAGTCAGATCTAACAGGAGGAATTGTCGGACAAGAAACGTGCTAAACGAAGATATGACTAACGAAGTGGAAATCGCAATTTAAGCGATTGCAAATTAATCCCACATAACAAAGACAGTGTTAATCGCTATTAAAGCAATTGCAAATTAAGCCCAAACAAATAACAAGGCTTCAACGGGAATCGAACCCAAGGCTTCTGCGTACCGCTGCTGGTGACATGATAAAAATATATTGAGAACGAGCGAATTAAATTTTCCCGATGGGTAAAAAAATTGCTAGGGACTCAGTAAATACTAGAAGTTAACTGATAACATTAAAGATCGAGTGTGGCATTATTGAGTTAAGCCTAAGTGAAATAAGAGCGGTTGGTAAATTAGTGAACTGGAAACATACCCAAATCCAAGATTTAGAAGATGATTCTTCAGACCAACTTCTTACTTCTGATAGTGTTGCTTGTTAACTCCAGTTTGTTAAGTTTTGAATTTGCTGAGTTTTTAATTGAACGGAAACTAATATTGGAACAAATGATATTCTTTAAACAGCGAGTGTGTCAAATATTGGAGTCATGATATTTGGGTGTGGCGCCCACGTTTTTGCTATCAAGGGAACTTATGTTGTATATATTGTTATCGTTACGTATCACGTCATCCATCTGTTGAAGGGGCCGCCAACATTACATTTAAAAAATTCCCACGCAGAATTACTTTAGCATTAGGGAAAAAAAAAAGAAAAAGAAAAAATTGGCCTATTGATCGTCCGGGTGGATGTAGTTCTGAATAGGAATGTTGTTGACAGTGAAATTATTTTTTTGACTTCGCAGAGTTTTGGTTAGAGTGAACCAAAACAAATACGAACAATTTGTTGATGTTATCATGTTCATGATTATTTCATTTCCTTATTACATTATGCTCTTCGACCCATTAAGCCAAACGATAGGATTATGACGTACTAATGACACTTGTTTCATATTGTGAAACTTTTCTCCCGAATTAAAGCGCGACTATTTGGCGAAAAAATGCTAATAAAGAAAATTAATTAATTAAAGAGAATTTAACCTTAAGCGATTCTTCTTTTTAATACAAAATCGTTTAATTATGAATATGCTGCCAGCGTGTTACACGCTTAATTCCATTAGCATTTAAAAGGCATAATATTGTAATGACGTGACATTGTTATGAACGGCTTGCCTACGCACGAGGAATTTACGTCGAAATTCACTGAACTGTTGCAAAACCAATGTTAGGGCCTGTTTACTTGGAGGTGGGGGACCCCAGCTAGGTGAGGTAACCCGCTTTGGTGGGTAACCCGCCTGTCCACATAATCTCTCATTTTAATTTAATCACTTTTACATGATAGGTGTGGTGACCCGCCGCATGTTACCTCACCTATCTGGGGTCCCCCACCGCCATGTAAACAGGCCCTCAGGGACTGCTTAAATAGAGGTGGAGAACCCCAGGTAGGTCCATATAATCTCTCATTTTAATTTGATAACGTTTACATGTACATGATAGGTGGGGTGACCCGCCACATATTACCTCACCTATCTGGGGTCTCCCACTTTCACGTAAACAGGCCCTTAGTTTATTCTGAACCAAGAATATTCCACACGAGGCAAAAGATCATGAAGGTGCATGAGACAGGGGAGTAGTGCTTTAAAATATGCGGGCTTTTTTGCTGATACTTATGAGTTGTTAAATACCTCTCTTCGCCGTAAAATTCGGTTTGGTGTTAATCTTCAAATTTGTCCTTTGTACTGATGCTAAAATCATTCATTACCTTTTGCATCATCGACTATTTCACAATTTTATGGGGAATTATTCAGTGGTAGCGACGTGCCTTTTGTATCACGACGTGCGCATTTGTTCGGAATAAACACGGGTTAAACACCGGCGTCCTTAAAGGAGTCTAAGTTATTACTATCGAAATCTAACTGTTTTTCAATTAATTTTCAATTAATTGTGTGTAAGTTTCTAGCGTGTGGAGGGTTTTTCTTAGTTCGCATGCACCTGTATGAATGTATGTTGTTGTGTATGTAGCATTCAGGAGGAAGTGGTGAAGGAGAAAACTGGATAAATTGTAAATTAAGCACAGAGAAAGCGTAGTTGAGAAGGAAGGGACTTTTGTCGGGGTGAGACTTTTGGAGATCCTATCCGCGCAGTTTGAAGTTATTTGCAAGCAATATTTGTCTAAATATCAGCCGTAAAAATTGCTTAATTGCTGGGTGGCAAAAAAGATGTCCTTAGATTGAACTTTAAAAATAGAATGTGTCCAAAATATATCGGGCTAATTCTGCCTCGATCTCATAATTTTAGGAGCTGCCATTCAGTTTTATAGCTGGGTTTTAAGCAAAAAGTCTTAAACAGGAAACTGTTTTTTTTCTCAGTTTATTACTTATTTTACAGACTACTACCAAGGAACGGGACTCGGTTTAAAACAAACGCCTCTGTCTTGAAGCCAACAGTCATTGGCGTCATACGGACGAATCAATGACAAACTCAAAGAAATTATATTTATTAACAACGATAGACTGACAAAACAAAACCGACAACAGTCTAGTTTCGAATTCGTCGCGGCCGCTGAATGGAAGCACTGAAGAGTCTTTTACACAGGGTTAGCCTCGATCTAAGGTATATAGACAAATTCCAGTCAGAAAAAGACCTTTGTACAACTGTGTTTATTGTTTTTAAACTCAAATTCAAGCACTTTTTTCGCTGGTATTTGTGAATATTTTGCTTTAGGTCGAGGCTAACCCTGTACAATTAAGTCTTCGCGGCGTTTTTATTTAAAGCTACGACGAATTCGAAACTGGACTATTTGACCAACAATATTGCGACAGATATTACACTGACAAAAGCCAGTCAAAACGCACCACTCGTGTTTAGGCCAATATCTACAGTACATCGGATAGCTCTTGCGCCGGCATTAAAACCATATCCGAAAAGAATTTTTTTTTTCACATACACACACACACACACACACACACACACAAAAACGGTGATTTCGGTACGGTTTCAGTAATGTCGCGAATCTGCGCCTCGCCGATCTTGAATCTGGATTGTCATATATTGGATAGATTTCTGTGCCTTTCTTTGTGGCATTGTGGACAGGCATTTGAACAGTAGCGAAAGACTGTGAAAGGTTTGAACCCAGGAGTCATTTCAAGGGTAGGTTGAGTTTGTTCGTCCGGGTGAACGTAGTCCTGAATGGGACTGTTGTTGTTGACAGTGACTGACGTTTCGACAACCTGTGCGGTAGGAGTCAAAGAGTCAGAGTCAAAGTCTGAAGATGGCTACCGCACAGGTTGTCGAAACGTCAGTCACTGTCAACAACAACAAACCTATTCAGGACTGCGTTCACCCGGACGATCAAACTCAACCTACTTTTAAGTAGCGAAAGAGTAAGAACCCACGCAGACGGAAGTTAATACTCAGGAGTGATGTTGAGGATTTATGCACCAAGCCCTTATTGCCAACCGCTCCAGTACGAACCTCAAAAGACTGTGAACGACTTGTTTCAGTTCTTGTTCGTACAAGGCTGGAGCATTTTTCTTGTCGACATAGCCTTAGAAAGTTCTGGGTCAATAACTTTAAGGCATAACTGACAGACGATCAACAACATGACGTCTTGGTTGACAATCGGTTTAATAACCAGTGTCTGATACCATTAAAGACGAATATTACACTTAAAACTCGACTCTGAAAATGACTGACGCATAGGTTTTCAAACGTCATTGACTGTCATTAGCATCCTCTTTACGATTTCATTCAGCCAGATCAGCATATTTCACCTGCTTACGAAATGACTCCTGGGTTCAAATCGTTTATATACGTACCTTTGTTAAATAGCTGCTGTTGTATTATGTTCCGCAGCCCCAGTCCCTCTTGGCTGAAAGCGTTTTTGTTCCACTGACACCCTCACCCTTTCAAATCACAATATTTTTGTTCGTGTTAAGGTCTGTCCTGCCGCTATTAAACTTAGTAGGTTCGGTACTGCGCAAAAGTAATAAGAGCAAGGTTCGCAAAATTTTGTCCTTTGTTCTCGCCGCCGAAGGGTCGCTGAAAGCTCGCCACGAAACTTCTCTGAAACGCCCGCCAATTTTGTTCTAATGAAACGAAATCTCACGAAAATCTCTGCAAAATTTCGCTTTTAAACAAGCGAAAATTTGTTTAAAAGAAACTTAGGCAGAGCAGCATTTTGCACTGTCGAAAATTCGGGAGAACCAAAACTCGCACTGACGAGATTTTGGCAAAACGAAATAACATACCGCACATTGTTATTACTGATATAGTAAAATTTATAAAATTTCTACAAACAGGTGCCTGTCATCTTAGCGATGCTTGGAGTCTGGTACAACAATTTCTTTGGTGCTCAGACACATGGGCTCTTCCCGTATGACCAGGTGAGCCGTTTCTTTCTTTTGTCTTCGTTGCAGCTTCAAGTGAACAATTACTAAACTCCAATATGAAACATCATTCACTTTGTTTCCTAGCCCTGGTCACTAAACTTCATAGCAAACTCTTGGTATTTTTTGTAAGCGTAATAAGGTGTCCAATCTCCTGAAGGGTTCAAAATGTTACCACGCTCTGGGTGCAGGTGAATAAAGACAAGGCCACGTGACCAGGAATCAACCAATGGCAGCCCCTTTTTAGTTGAGGGAAAGTCTGGGAATTTAACAATTCTCTTTTTTGCTCTTTTTCTCTTCAAGCCTCTTTTTTCAAAGCGAAGCTAACTGCGAAGCCCGCCAAGTTCTCCATTTTAGCCCGCAAATGCGCCACAATACCCAACAAAGTGATAATAACTTGACTTCTAAATTGAGTGCATGAATGAGAAGTTGCTTTATAAACTTCTCATACCAAAAGCCCAATTTTTTCCCTTTGCGTCACAATGATGATGATGATTTTCTTTTTGCCAAGTTGAGTTGTTGTGGTAATTCACTACTTCAGTTATTTAAATTTTTTTTCCAAAAGGCTGTGTATGATATGAAGAATTACGTAAAGTAAAGAGAGTGTTATCCAGCGATGTCGCACGTCGAGGTGGATGACACCCACCGATATCTGTATATCTGTGTGTATATTTCCACCTCTCTTTAAAGCGTAAAGCCTACCTCGACAATGGACATACTGTACTTCAATTTGATAGCGAAACAGAAAATCAGTAATACGGTTTACTTATTTTTATTCTTTAAAAATAGATCTTGTTATCAAGTTGAATGATTTTAGCATGCTAAAAGTAGCCTATCGGAAAGGTTAGTTGGAAAAAGATAATGTTGTACCGTTTATTGCGTGTAGCTCAGACTTGTGAAAGCATGCCCCAAAATTTAGTCTGCAATAAAGTTATGTTGGTTGATGTTAGTTAGCCAAATCTAAGCAAAACCGTGCTAGGTTGTGTTCTTTAACGGTTTTTTCTTCTTATTGCAGTACATGCACCGCTTTGCCGCCTATTTTCAGCAAGTAAGTTGTGTTTCGTTAGGTTTAGATCTGAATATTTGATTTCGGGACCGAAAAGTTACCGAGACTTTCGAGAAGCGGCCCCCTGGTTCATTATTGGCCTGATTAAAAACCAAACTTGGGCATTTTGTAAAGCTCGGTTCCTAAACACGACACCAAGCAAAGAAAGTAATTATCTTTGTTTCTCTTTTTCTACAAGGGTGATATGGAGTCAAACGGTAAATCGGTAACTCGTAGCGGCGCACGTGTTGATTACTCCACTGGTCCTATTGTGTGGGGAGAACCTGGAACTAATGGACAACACGCATTTTACCAGCTTATACATCAGGGTATGTTCACAATTCTAGATAAGCTCTAGTTCTGGGCTTTTAAAACTGAAAAGTAAGCTATGTGGGAAAAAAAAAATGCCATAGGAATTTAGGCACATCTTCTCGACTAAACTATCATGCAATTTGCCACGTACTGTTTGCGAGGCTTGTTATTCTGGAGCATTAAATTTGGAAACGTGAGATTATCTCATTATTAGTATTAGTGTTTTTATACCCAAATGGCCATTGGCTGAAAATGTGTACTATTTTATTTATCCCTGTTTAAAATATATTTTCCTAGTGGCCTCTCGCAACTCCTATCCTTGGTACTCATTTCCAAGTTCCTGACTGTTTGCCAATTGCATTTTAGGAAACAAGGAGCCTGTAAACGAGGCACTTATGTTGTACTTTACAAATCGACAACAATTTTCCATGGACTGTATTCTTATCGACCATAGAAATGTCGTCAAAATGTTCAAAACTCAAGCGGAACCACGAGCCGCAGGCGAGTGGTTTCACTGTAAAGTTTGAACATTTTGACGTCATTTCTACGGTCGATAACAGAACAGATCTTGGAAAATTGTTGTCGATTTATTGTTTACAATATCATTGACAATTTTGAAGTCCATTTCCGTTGCGCAAGAGGGAGAAAGAAAGAAAGAAACAAAAAAAAACATTGTGCCACCATCACGTCATTTCTGTGGTCTGTACTCTTACTGAACATAGCTCTCGACAAATCAGCGGGCGATAAATCGCTCAGTTATGGTAAAATACTTAATAATTATACCTATGCTGCGTTGATTTCTGTTCAGGCACCAAACTGATCCCAGGAGACTTCTTAGCGCCAATCGAGACCCAGAATCCAATTTCTGGTGGATTGCATCATACGGTAATGTTTTTGCCAGTTTAAGCAGATTTGTCGAATTCAGAGAAATGTTGGAAGAACGAGCTGTCTGCTTCATAGATTGCAATTGTGTTTTAAATTATGCTGCCCTGATGCCTCGATCGGTTGTAGTTTGGACAGACGATACTTGCCTGCATTACTTTGCAAGTTCTTTTAAGGAAAGTGTACACTATTCACATAACTTGAAGGTAGTGTAGCAGCTTATCGTTTGTGTGCAAGGGTATTGCGTCCGCTTTTTCTAACGTTGTTCTCTATAAAGCGCGATCCTAGTGAGGGCTCCGGTTCTTTTATTTGTATTGAATTTTGGCTTATACCAAATTCTAGGATTTTATTTCCTTTTTTTGGCACATTGCACTGCTTGTCAGGTTTTATAATTTCTGTGTGAATAATGTGTTGTTATTGATACCCTTAGATTCTTTTAGCCAATTTCTTGGCCCAGCCTGAAGCTCTGATGAAAGGAAAGACGACAGAAGAGGCCCGGGCAGAGTTGGAGAAAAGTGGAAAGACAGGAGAAACTCTGGAAAAAATTCTACCACATAAGGTATAACCGTCTGCTTAAACCTTCATTTGTAAGCACGCTCGAGGTCGTTCTAGTGCCCCTAGATTAAGGAATACATTACTTTCTGAAATAAGAGTAATTAGAAGCTTTGCTCTTTTCAAAGGAGCTTTTAAGGGCCTGTTTACATGGAGGTGGGGGACATGTGAAATTACAAATTAACGCTGAAATTTCGCGCCAAAATTAAGGAGTAATTTGTCACCTATGATATTATTATTATTGTTGTTGTTATTATTCGAATTTTAAAAATTAAGTTTTAAAAGAACATTTCTGTTAGATTTTTGGTACTTCAGGAACTCAGCAACAGATTTGTTTTCTGTGTTAAAGGCATTTGTACAGCAAAAGGATAACTGACTTATTACTGGTTAATTTAATTCATTCACTTTAACCTCAGAGTCATCCAACACAGTAGAAGCTCTTGAGTTGTTACTCATTTGTACACTTTAGATGTAATGTATCATTTTTCATCGTAGGTTTTCGAAGGAAACAAACCAACGAATTCCATTTTGTTTTCAAAGTTGACTCCCTTCATCTTGGGTGCCCTAATTGGTTAGTTGCTGGTATTTATTTATTTGTAAATAAACATTCATACGTTTTTTGAAAACCGGGCTAGGGAAAAAGAATTCACTCATCCCTCTGCTTGGCAATTTAGAACAAAAAAAATCAACCTAAGGTCGATCCCAAAGCCATTAAATGACGACTTAAATGCTAGCAAAACGCTACGTTTGCTCGGGCCAAAACGGGGTCAATTTTTAGGTTTCTGGGAAACTGCCCACCTACCCCTCCCCTAAGTCAGCATTCACACTTACTTCTCACTTAGGGCAAAATGTTGAGTTAGGGGAGGGGTAGGTAGGCAGTTTCCTGTACAACATTTATCACCGTCTGATTCGCCACTTTAGATGCGAGAGGGAAAGTGGAACGAGATATCTTTTGTAAAGACGTCTGGAATCGTTACTGGGGACGCGCCGGTCTGCTATTGGCCAATTTTTCCCCTCTCCCCAGTAACAGTGCCAGAAGTCTTTGCGAAAGTTAACTTGGCGCAATTTCCTTCTAGTTTCTATAGTGGCGAATTTAACAGTATAACAACACGCCTGTCTTGTGTCTGTCAACAGCATCCTAAAGTTACACAATGAAGCACTTTATTTCGTGGCAATGATAACACTCCCGACAACTCCTCATTACATTTTTACATTTGAAACGAGCGGAATATCGTCAAATTCTGTCACTCTAAAAAAAACTCACGCTCTTTCCAGATAAACACATGAACGTAACGTTTCTCTCCTTATCGTTTTATTCAAGTTTCCGGATGAGATTAAACGGTTGGTAGACCAGGAAAGAGTTTGCTTTCAAACCTGATTTTTACTCAGTCTTGGCCCGATTTATTTCTGACCACCAATCTGTCTCTCGTCGAATAAATACGACCCTAGAATCTACTTTTTGGGGCTAATGACTTGATACCTTCTAGAGCAAAGTGCACAATGTCCATTACCTTTTCTTTTCGTCTCGAGGCCGTTTCATTATGTCGCCCTTGCAGGCAAGTAAAACGAAACTCGGAAAGATATTGGACGAAGCAGGCTTTGCCAATCGTGAGCCAGCTCATTCGAAAGGCTTATGAAGTTTTTTGTTAAAACTTTGCGGACCAAGGCGGAATCCAACGACACAGAAACTAGCTTTAGATTTCGCACCTGATTTCAAATCGATGTCATTTCTTTTAGACAGATAACTACTCGTTTATCTCTTCATCCGCAGTTCGAATGTATGTTTTTTTTTTTCATGTATCTAAGTCATTTATGTTTTCTTAACGACCCGGTTGTTTCGCCCCAAATCGAAGACGTCTTTTTAATATCTGTTAGTACTTGAAACGAATTTCTGTCCCTTATCACTTCATAAGGCTCGACAATTGAAAAGAGTATGTTTCTTTAAAACTAATATAATCACATGTTGCTAACTATACCGTTTATTTTGAAGCTATGTACGAGCACAAGATATTCTGCCAAGGTGTTATTTGGGACATCAACTCTTTTGACCAGTGGGGGTGAGTACAAGACATTGCTTTTAAGACTTCGCCTCTTGGCTCGCTCATTTTTTCCCTTGATACCCAGGGACGAGTCGTTCGAAGGACGATTAGTAGGGATGGATCCAGAAAATTACGAAATGGGTGCCCGGGACACTTGCCATCTGAATAGATCCTATTTATTTTACTGATAATTTTTTGAAACAGTAATACAAAATTTCTTAGAAAGAAACGGAGGGCTCGCGGTCCACTCGGCCAACTCCTAAAGCCGCACTTGATAAGCTCTAATCCAGGCCTGGATAACATGACAACTCATATGCTCTGTCTGCAGTAATTCAGGATTAGAGTCAACCGAGCTTTTAACAGCTTGGCACAGATAATGATGTTGATGGTGATGATGATGGTATTGACGGTTGTGATGATGTCAATGATGTTTATAATCACGATGATGATGATGATCATTATTCATGATGTAACGATGACCATTCACATAGTGATTCTTGTTCACCATATTTGTATAAATCGAATAATAACTTTAAAATGCTTTTTTTTCGAGCAGAGGGCATAGGAGAACTAACAACAAGCTCAATCCACATAGTGGGTCGGGATTCGAACCCAGGCCACCTCGGTAAATGTGCGAAAGCTTTCACCACTGCACCACCCGTCGATCCTGGTTAAAGTTGCGTATGTCTTAAGAACGTCCCTGTACAGTAACAAATGAAATCTGCACCCAGCCACTCACATGTGATGGTTCCTTTTTGTTGCAGAGTTGAATTAGGCAAGCAACTCGCTAAGGCAATTCAACCAGAACTTGAGAAACCGGGCATAGTGACGTCACACGATTCGTCGACCAATGGACTGATCAACTTTATCAAGCAACACTCTGCTAAGTAGTGCTTTGTGGAGTCTTGTTACAGTCACTGTCAGTCGTGATTTAGGCCCTGTACGCAATACGCAAAATTTAGTTTGTTTTGGAAGCTATTTCTAGTGCGAACGATTTGTTTTTCATCGGCCAAAATTTTCTCAACTGTCACCAAACTTCAAAGATGCCGTCGAGAACATTTGGAGGCCTACAATTTTTTGTCAGGTGGCAAAATTCTTTGTTCCTTGACAGCTAGCCTTCTTCGGGTCACCTTATTTCGCGAATATGGCGTTTCTGGTTTTACGAAAAATTTCGCCTGTCTCAGATGCGAACACGGTTGCAAAAAAAAAAAGAAAAAAAGGTGATTTCAAAATTTTTTGCAAACGCC